AGCTAATGTGTTTTAATGTGATTTCTTCAAGCGATTGTTTTTTCTTCAAGCTCATACAGAAGCCAGTGAAAAGATGAAGCTGCTTTAAAGAGGTGCTGAATTTGTGCTTTTCTGAAACATTTTTAAGCCATATACAACCTTACTAAATAGATTTAATTTAGAGTAACTCTGTTTGAATGAGTTGCAAAACTCTTAATATAAATAGTCTCTAACATGAAAAAATACAAATGAAAAGCTTCCTTTCTAAATTCTTTTGAAGGAGCAGATTTAGAATTCAGAACCTATTTATAGCAAATTAAAAAAAAAATCTGTACAGATCTTTCAAAGCTTCTTTAATTTTAGATTTCAGAAAACGCTCCAGGTTCTCAGATTTATAAGTTATTTACCTCAGTCCACTCAACTTAGCATTTAAGAAGTTGTGTGGACAAAATACTGTTCCAGTTTTTCCTAGCCTAAGATTTCAAATAAATTTATATGGACTTCATTCCCTGGATAGGTTTTTCTCATACTCTATGGGTACTTAGTATGAGAATAATTTAATCACAAAGAAGGTTCTAAAACATTTATACCTTCAAGGTTTTGAAGAACTTCAGATCATTGGGGAGAAGCATGTATTACGGTTTATCTGTAACATAAAAGACTACATTTGCTGTTAAGGTTTCTTCTTGGAGCAAGAACACAGAAGAGCATGAAATCACTAGATTTTGCTGAAATAAAGCTAAGTAATATCTCAGCTGTAATTTATACGGCAGTTCTTGTGTTACTATGTATAATTTTGTATAGCCCAACTGGAATGTGAAAAAACAAAAAATGCCTAAACATTTCTGAGTTTTCATGCTCTTTTTCATGAAAGAATACTGTTTGGCTACATTAGACATACTAAGATATTTTCAGTTTTCCCAACTTAATTGTCTGTACAATATCTGCCAACATTTCTCTTTAACATTGTGTATTCCTCATATTTCTTTATGTTTGTTTCTTTCTTTCTTGCATAGTTTTTTCTTTCTTTTTTTCTTTTTTTGTATTTATGGAGTAAGCCTTGTGACTTGAAAACATTGTGGTGCACTATCCTAGAATGTTTCCATTAGTGAAAGGGAAGAAAAGGGGTAAGATGGAGATGAGAAGAGAATAAATTATTTCTTCATCAAGTTAAATAGAATTATTCTGCCAAATAAGCACCTAGATCAAAGGAACTCATGAGAGGAATAGGGAAGACATCCGTCTCTTTCATGATATAATCAGCCAAATAGTCTCATTCTTAGACCTATTTTAAAATAGAAACCTAGAATTTTTTTTTAAAGTTTTGGATACATATATATGAACCAAACTAAAAGTGTTTCCTCAAAATATCAGAGGCATATAGATAAAAAGAACATTTTATGGGGGAAAATGTCAAAAAGGTTTTTTGTATTTAAAAAAATAAGAAAAAGTGAGAAGAACCACTAATAAAACTAGTATTTTAACTATCAGTTTTATGCAAGCAAGTCTTAAGAATCTGGCATCTGATTAAAAATCTCTAATGTAGGTGACTAATATTTTCTGTATATTTTCATAATATATATTTTATGTAGATAGATTTGACTCCTATGTTAATTAAGTTAAGATGGGAGTCAAATATGTGTATTTCATGAGTGCATTTTATATTACCATTAATAATCTAAATCTAACTAATTACAGAGCAGCACTGTCAATTTATCTTAGAATTGATTCTGTGGTAATACAGAGTTTAAGAACGAGTTCTGTTCCCAAGGTCTGTCCTTAAGTCAAATTTGTATTAAGCCGGAACAGTACTACTGTGTAATAATATATAAGTAGTATTGTGTAATTAACTCAAACCATTGTGTATTTAACTCAAATCATTGTGTATTTAACTCAAATTTTGCTGCAGTAGGCTCCATTCTTAACTATGGATCGTCCTTAAACCAGGCATTCTTAACCCAGGGACTACCTATACAGTATTACACCTCCTCCTTAATTAATTTGTTTGCAATCCTATGTATTTTCCTAATTTGTTTATTTTAAATATTTATGTTCCATCTTTCTGCCTATTATCATTTTCTAGGCAACTGGCAGTAACCATCAATAAATTTATGTAAACCTAAAACTATTTTTAAAGTCATAGATGACTAAGATTCCTGGTAAAAGATGAAGTAAATACCTTAAATGCTATTGGTTCGGCTGTGATCAGACACTATTTATAAGTTCCATGGTGTCACTAAGGGAGTGTAGTATCCTGGCAACCAGGCTCAGGAAATACTAGATAATCTCATCCTGGGGCCTAAGGATATCTACATGTCTCTACCTTCCAAAGCTATGAAATTGGCAACCAGAGAGAAAGCCTTTTCTGCAGTGGTGCTTATGAATGGAGATATCAGTCAATCGAGTTCAAAACATCTTCTGTCCTGTTTTTTTAGGAAAAATATTTTCAACCCTGTTTTCACATTAATTTACCATTTTTAAATGTGCAAGATATTCTGCTGTCAAGAAAACCCTCTAAGCTGTTTAGAGATTTGTGAAATGGTCTGAGAGCTCTCTTTCTTTTTTGCTAGGTAATACCCATTTCAAACAAATAGAAAGTTGTGGCTGCTTTCGCATTAAAGCTGAGATGGAAGCTGGTACTTCTTAGATAAAGCTGATTTTCCTTCTCTATCAATCAAAATGAATCTTAGCTAAAATTGCTGTTCAAGTAGCCCAATCAGTCTGGAGCTTTTCTGCCTGATTTTTTTAGGGCTCCTAGTAGATTACTAAGTGAATTAAAGAAAGAAGATAGTATTTTCAGAACTGTGAGAAAGAATAGAAGAAAACAGATTTTAATTATTTATTATGTCAATGTGTACTTTCCCACAATGTGTACTCAAAGGGCTAATATAAATTATAACTATTAAAACAGCTTAATAAATCTAAAAAGGTAACTAAAGAGAAAGTTCCTGACTTCTTTCCTGAAGACAAAAAAGTGGGAGGAACTAATTTCAGCTCCCAAAGGGTGTTTAGCATATTTTGGGAATGGAAATGTTTTATTTTCTCAATTATGTATATAATTTCAAATAAATTAAATTTCAATTTATTTTCATGTTTAGATTCCAGATTCCATCATATCTCGTGGTGTTCAGGTGCTTCCACGAGACACAGCCTCACTTAGCACTACCCCTTCAGAATCCCCTCGTGCCCAAGCTACTTCTCGCCTCTCTACTGCTTCCTGCCCCACACCAAAAGTAAGTACAGCGGCTTACCTGCATTCAGAGGTGGGAACTGTCTTGACTTGAAAAATGTCTTCTGCTGCTGAAAGTTAGCTCGCATGCAAGATTATACTGTTGAGAGTGATCGATGAGATGAAGATGGTATATACTTAGGGTACATTGTATATACAAAGTAGTAACGTGATACAAATACATATGTATATGTATATATGTATGAAAGGTTACATATTTAAATGCTGCTATTTATTTGAAACCCTGCTTTAAGCCTGCCAGTTTCATACCTGTTTTTTAAGATACATTTGAAAATGTTTCTATCTTTTTTATCGCAGTATCAATCATGAGGCTCTGAATTTCTTGCAGGGCTCTATTTATCCATAAAATTAATCCTGCTCCTGAATAAAAGCACTAAACTTATAGTTCATTTTCATAAACACACTTATACCTGAGCTGTGGCACTTTCTGCCTCAGTGTCTTATTAAAGTAGTTAAAACATTTTCAAGACAAACAATTTGGCCCAACTTGGATACTTGCTGCCTTCTCTTTGGAAACTCTAAATTATAAGGAAAGTTTTAATGCCAGCCTATGAAATGACATGTTTGTGTTTTAGATATTATTTCACATGGAGTATACAATACTTTTGCAGGTAATCTAATATATTTGGTACAATACATAACATATAGTGTATCCACAGCAAAGTTGGACAAGTAGCAAATCTAGTAAAATACATGGTTTCTTTCAGAACATGAATTCTCATTGTTTGCTCAGTTAGTTCTTTTACATGAAAAAGCTTTCTTTCTGGCATTTTTAATATTACCATATTTAACAGAGAACAGAATAAATCTAATGAAGCGCTTCCTGGTTCACGGTTCTTTGAAATTACAAATCTCTGGTGGTTATTATTTTTTATTTATTTCTGCAAGCCATATTAAGGTATGTCCAACCATTAACTTATATTTGTTCAACGTTCTGACATTTGTTATGATGTGTTGTGTATGTTGGATAATACAGATATTCCTGAATAGCAAAAACTACACTTCGTGTAGAAATTTGTTCAAACTTTTAATTAATCCTTTACAGCTTTGAATTATTTTTCTTGTTAGTTTTGGGGATATGTTTTTTTTTTCCAAAATAAATTGAGACCTACTACAAAGTAGTAGAATAATAAACACTCAGTTTAATGGGTCATTCAGAATCAAATATTTGTTAAATCCATAAATAACATATTTGCATCAACTTCTGTCATTTGTGTCAATTTGTCATTTGCATCATTACCCCATTATACAAATGACATAAATAGATGCAAAAAATTTAATTGATATGAATTGTCTGGACAACTTCAGATACAATGAATTTTGTCTGTTATTTTGAAGTGATGTCCAGAGGGAAGTTTTGCATCTGAAGTCCTCTAAACCAAAGTCCATTAAAATGAGGATTTACTTACGCCTGGAAATTTACTAAATTTGAATGAATAAGATAAATAAAAACTGTAGACTCAGTTCTTGAGGTCTGTGCCTTAATTTCTCTTTTTTGAAAAAAGCAGATGTTGCACATTTATTTGTGAATTGCTTCTCTTCAGTGGAAATGAAATGAAAGAGGTATTCTGATATATGTTTCCCAGACTAGTAGTTACTTATAAAGGAGGATATTGTAAAGAATGCACACACTCAGATAAAACGGGTTGTATGCTCTGTAACCTAATATGAAAAAAAAATCCATACTAATTTTTTTCTTCAAAGAATTCAAGTTATATAAATGAGCTAAAAGATGTAATGATTGAAATTCCTTGCAACCATACTCTCATACTTTTTTCTTTGTTGGTTTATTTTTTCTCATGTCATGGTCAAATGCATTTTAAACTAGATTGAGTAGTCAGTTGCAAACTTTTGAATAGTCTAGCTTGCTGTAAAATTCCCTGTTCTCCAACATCGATTTTATGGGCTGAGGATTCCTTTTTTAGGCAGGCTTTCTGCCAGCCCTGGAAAAAGAGCTCCAGTAGGAACAAAGAACAAAGAGAGAAAGCAAAATGCGCCTCCCTCCCTCCTCTTTTTAAAAGCCTACGTGATAGAATTTTCCTGCTCCTGATTTTTCTGAGAGTTTGATTTTCATGGGTTTCAAATGTCCTTGCCCATTTACCTAAATTGACAGGTCAAATTTTTAAAAATTATTTTAGTGTCCAAATCTCATTCACTACACATGCATATTATACTGAATTAGTCCATTCAAACATCTTGTAAATATTTCTGTTCCAGCAGGCAGTAGAACAGACTGAGAATGTTTCCAGTTCACTTTATCATATGCTTACTCTAAATTGTTAAATGTACAATAATCTTTCTGACATTTACACATTTCTCAGTGACTTACTGAAGAGTAAAAATTTCATCTGGGTACTCTTGGCATAAATTTGTGATGCACTTCCAAATGTTAATAATGCTTCCTCTTCATACCCTTTCAGTTGGACTTCTGCTAAACAGGCACATTTAGCAAACTAATCCCCTCCTGTAGTTTTTGTATTCACTCTTATTGCCTTTCTCTTTGTAGAGAGGAACAATAATGGCATTAGTCCAATCTTCAGGCTCAGATGCAGTCTTCACATAGATATTAAACAACCACACAGCCATAAGCAAATCACATCCATATTTTTGACATCTTTTCCTTAGACACTAATGTTTATTACATTGATTTCATTCTTCTACCAATCACTGTCATTTACATAAAAATCTCATTACTCATTCTCTCGCTTCAGTTTCATCTCAAATAAATTCATTATTTGTGTTATTAATCCAGTTCCTCTATTGAAGATTTCTTGTTTAGCCATCTTCCATTTAAACATGATTTTTTTAATTTCCATCAAAATCACTGCATTTTCTCTGCCTTTTTAGTCTTAATTATTCCTCACTTTCTTAACTAGATTAGTTTCAACTATTTTTTTCTCTCTGTATGCTTTATACAATATTTTTCCTTTCTCCTTGTTTTTTGCAGCAATAATTCTCTTATACTGCCATTTTTCTCATATCTAGCCTCTTTCACTTCATCTTCCTCCACGCCTTCATACTTCGTATTAGCATAACTTTACCCACTTGTGTACCATTCTTCTTGTCACTCTTTTCCATGTCATCTTTTCCACACCAGTTTCCACATCATCTTTCTAATGGCCACTTTGTATTTATTCTGTTGGAAGATGAATCTGTTTTGCAAGATTTTTTCATACAGGACTTTTTCTTGCTCCAATCCTACTTTCACTCTAGTTTTTTTTTTTCCACCTCTTTCCTTCCTTGTCCAGTTTTTTCCCCAAATTCACTCTTGTCATACAAAAAAATGGTCTGTCCCACATTCAGAACCTCTTGTCAACCTGCCTTTCTTCATCCCTCTGTCTTTCATCATAGTCAGATCAGCCATACCTTTAGATTCCTTGGATACTTAAGCCATGTATTTGGAGGAGTCCTTTTTCTAAGCAAATACTCATCACCATTCTCATTCATTCTTCTGGCACTGAAGGGCCCAGTCACTTCTTTGGTACTCTCTCATCTCATTCTCACCTATTACCTATGTAATCTAATAGAATTTTTTTTCCCCAGATTGCATTCATTCAATTGTTCCCAAAATTCAACTGTCATTCTTTCTTTATCACCACTGGAACGTAACATGGAACTATCACCAACATAAGATTTTCTACTTTTATACATACCCACAACAGTTTAGATGACACTAGTTCATACTTTTTGACATATTGTAGCCCTTTCATTTCCAAATCTGGAAATCTATATTTTCACTTCTGCCTACATATTAACTCTATTCTACAAGTTCAGACCTTCATTCATATCCGTTTCATTCTTCAGCTTTCTTTTAGGTTCATACCCTGCCTTCATTTCATTTCATTTCATTTCATTTCATTTCATTTCATGTTCCTTATCACATACTCTTACATTCCAAGTCATAATCTTTCATACACCATGGTCGTTTGAAGATGGGTTCATGAATATTCACCTTTAGTATCTATCACAACTTTGGAGAACTCAGGCTTTCACCAGTGTCAGTTCACTGCATGTGCCCTCCTAATTACTTGCAAGACCCTGGCTTATATAAAATATTTTGAGCATTGTTGTGCCATACTAGTCCAAATGTGCCCAAATGAGCAGTATCGTGTCCTTATTGTTAGCAGGGAATGCCACATATGACATGGGTCAAGTCTTCAGGTGGGAAAAGGCTGAATAAAAATAATTTTTTGCCTTGCTTAAGTAGCCACCAACAATACTGATATTTATTTTTGCTAATTATTATTGAACGGAAGTATTGAATATTTTCTGAAATTCTTTCTATCATGCTGTATCAAGGTTCTCTTTCTTCTATTCATGAGTAACTGATAAAACATGTTTAAAATGATTTAAATTCCCAACATCAGTACATTTTTTTAAAAACCCCTATATCACTGAAAATAGATTTTAAAATAAGATTAGAATGCATTTTTAATCCCTTCAAATGAATTTGTAGGGTACAGTTATTCTCTTTATGACACTGAATTTTATACAATTCAAAAAGAAAGTAGACAGAAAATAAATTAGACAAATTTTATGCAGTGTCCAGCTTCCCACAATTCTAATATCTGGTTATCTGGAACCAAATGTCTCCTCAATAACTGTTGTGTATATATGTGTCTTCAACAAGGGATGAGACCAGGACAAAAACACAAAATAATTATTAATTACAATTAATTACCTGTAAAATATGATATGCCATGCGTAATATTAATTGACCCCCCCCATCTGCAGCTGCCAACTATTCACTGACTCATAAGCCATACTGCCCTACAAAAACCCTACACATACATTCACATTCCTTTTTCTCCTTCCCACAGAAACAACAGCAAAAAAAGGAAAAAGCACAACAGAGATTGGATGAGTGCAAGGGGTAATTGTATTGGGAAGAGAATGTTCTTCGTTTTGTTACACAATTTTAGGTTTTAGTGAGACTTGAAAAATAGATCACAGCAATAAAAATCATTATGACTAAGCTTTTAT